TTAAATTGAAATATTTTTGAAGAAAACCCGGTTTTGTTCGAGACTCTAAACTAAATTTTTCTAATATTATTTAAACAAAAAGTGTGATCGTTAAAGCCATAAAATATTTACAAACTTTGTTACTTTATAACTATATTCTTTAAAGAAAACCTATTTTTTGTTAATAAAGAAACCGGCTTAAATGGTAATTATGTTTTCAAACGCACGTAACACCAACATTTTGTATGCGTTACAAACACGAGTGCAGCTTTTGACAATATATATCTAAAATCTGTAAAATTTCAATTTTGTTTTTGACAATATAACGTGGCCATAAGCACGGTGTTGAAAGAACCTATACAATAACAAAAATTAAAAAAAAATATGAAACCAAATTATAAAAAAATATATTGAAAAATATGCCACTTTAAACAAAAATTAAATGAGTAGAAAAAAACTGTTGACAATTGTATTTAGTTAATCATATGACAGTTTGACATAAAAAAACAAAGCTTAAAGTTGATTTAAAAACCTTAAAAAATAAAATATTATTTGAATGCTTAAGCTAAAGTTTAACGACTTTATAAGACAGACTTCTATTGTTTAATTAAAACTGTCTGCTGGTAAATTAAAGAAGTGATCGACATAAAAAAGATTAATATAATTTGTTTGGATTTTTAAATCCAATTGTTTTCCCAATACTTTTGAAACCAACAGGAAGTATTAGTTAAAAGTTTATAGGTGAAAGCTTTCATTAAGCTTACTACCAAATTTGTTTAAAACTTTCAATATTTCCGATGTTTCGTAATTTTTCTTATTCTATTGTTTATTAAATCGATTTATACATTTTCTTTTAGTTCTAATTAATTATTTTTTTATCTAGTTTTTTCCATTGTTTATATATCTTTATTTTAAATATGAGTATATGTTTATAAATAAAGTTGTTTTTCGCTAGATAATGGAAATTTTTGCTTCTTTTGTTCGTTATAAGCTGTTTTTTTTTTTCATTTTCTGTCTTGGTTCTTTTTCAATATTTACTTGTCATTCAATATTTATAACAAATTTAAGCTTTTAATACTTATTTCTTTGTTTAAACAATACGAAATGCAACAACAAAAAATACAGCTTAGTTTGAAATCTATATAGTATAAAGAAAATATATATATATTTTTCTATGGCTATTTTTATCAGCAAAATATTGTAATGTTTATTGTCTTAAAGTTAAGTACCTGCATTCAATGATTTTAACTTGATTTTTTTCCAATAATAACAGAAAAATTGTTTTGACATACAAAGTTTACAATAGCTTTCTAAGCCATATAAGCTTTTGTGGTTATGAAGTTTAAACTTTAAAATGTTTGCAGTAAATTTAAGTTCAATATGTGAGATTTCGGAATTGTTGGATCAAGTATCACAGATCGAAAAAAATGAATAAATCTCCTATCGTCTATAGACCAGTTTATATACAAACTACTGATCAGTCTATAGTCCAGACTATAGATAAGTCTATAGTCCAGACTATAGATCAGTCTACAGTCCAGACTATAAATCAGTCTATAGTCCAGACTATAGATCGGTCTATAGTCCAGACTATAGATCAGACTATAGTCCTGATTATAGATTCAACTATAGTCCTGATTATAGATCAATCTATAGTCCTGACTATAGATCAGTATATAGTCCAGACTAAAGATCAGTCTATAGTCCTGACTATAGATCAGTCCAAAGTCCTGACTATCAGTCCTAACTATAGATCACTCTAACTATATATCACTCTATTGTCCTGACTATAGATCAGTCCATAGTCCTGACTATAGATCAGACTATAGTTCTGATTATAGATTAGACTATAATCCTGATTATAAATCAATATATAGTCCTGACTATAGACCAGTCTATAGTCCAGACTATAGATCAGTCTACAGTCCAGACTATAGATCAGTCTATAGTCCTGACTATAGACCAGTCCATAGTCCTGACTATAGATCAGTCCATAGCCCTGACTATAGTCCTGATTATAGATTAGACTATAGTCATGATTATAGATCAGTCTATAGTCCAGACTATAGATCAGTCTATAGTCCAGACTATAGATCAGTCTATAGTCCAGACTATTGATCAGTCTATAGTCCAGACTATAGATCAGTCTATAGTCCAGACTATAGATCAGTCTGTTGTCAAGACTGAAGATCAGTATATATTCAAAATATGCACCTAAATAATTATCTAAATTTTCTGCCAAATTAACACATTTGCCAAAAAAAAAATGCTGTAAACATTTCACATTCAAGTGTCATATGATTATGATGAGTCATGCCAAAGTCTTTTAACTCAATGATCAAATTACGCAAAAATTCGAAAAAAAAAATAAATAAGACAAAAAAAAACCGTTAAGAGGTATAAAGCATACAAATGATATTATAATAAAATATACAACAAGAAAATTGAAATAAAAAAATATTTTTTTTAGTAGACCAGCCAAAATATTGACTGACTTCCAGCTGTTTTAAAGGTCATTTCAGCTTGTCAATTTCATGTTAAAACAAAAGGATTAACTAAATTCCCAAACACTAGAGAAAAATTGAATTATAAAGGCAAAAAAACTTGTTTAGATTTTTTTCCAACTTTATGTCATGGCATAAGTATTTAGGCAAACTTGTCTGCTTAAATACAGTTTTTTGTGTGATTTTTATTAAAACTATTTAAGTTGCCAGTTAATTTAAATTTATTTAAAAAAAATTTTTACTCATACATTTAGTATTTGTTTAATAAACTTCGAGATATTTAATCATACAAAATAATAAAGGTGTGCTTATTATTATTGTCTTTTGCTGTAGTCTATAAGCAACGGCAGCAGTTGTTTGCTGTTAGTAAGCTTAAATTGATCTTTCCAGCTGAAACGACGGTTTTTGTAAGCTTTTTTAAAAAATTGTCAATATTTATTTTGTTAAATAATTTATCATTTAATTGACTGTGAAAAAATTTTTAAATGTTTGTTTTTTTCTCTATAAAAAAATGTTTAAGCAGATGAAAAATATGAAAATTTCAGCTGTTAAAACTGCACTTAAAGGATATTTTTTGTATACTTAGTCTATAGACAAAACTATAGACAGCACTATAGAATAGTCTATAATTAACACTATAAACAACTGTATAGTCAAGACTACAGAGAAGTCTATAAAAAAGACTAATATATCATTCTATAGTCAAGACTACATATAGATCAGTCTATAGTCAAGACTATATATAGATCAGCCTAAAATTAATATCATAGATCAGACTATAGTCAAGACTATGGATCTGTCTATAGTCAAGGCTATGGATCAGTCTATAGTCAAGACTATAGATCAGTCTATAATCAAGACTATAGATCTATAGATCAAGACTATAGATCAGTCACAGTCAAGACTATAGATCAGTCTATACTCAATACTATAGATCAGTCTGCAGTCAAGACTATAGATCAGTTTATAGTCAAGACTATAGACCAGTTTATAGTCAAGACTATAGATCAGTTTATAGTCAAGACTATAGATCAGTTTATAGTCAAGACTATATATCGATCAGTCTATAGTCAAGACTATAGATCACTCTATACTATAGACTATAGATCAAACTATAGTAAAGTCAATACTATAAATCAGTCTATAGTCAAGTATATATATCAGTATATAGTCAATACTATAGATCAGTCTATAGTCAAGTCGATATATCAGTCTATAGTCAAATCTACAGATCAGTCTACAGTCAAGACTGTAGATCAGTCTATAGTCAAGAGTATAGATCAGTCTACAGTTAAGACTATAGATCAGTCTATTGTCAAGACTATAGATCAATGTATAGTCAAGTCTACAGATCAGTCTATAGTCAAGACTATATATTTATAGATCTATAGATTATTTATAGTCATTACTATAGATCAGTATATTCTATATTCAAGTCTACAGATCAGTCTAGATTCAAGACTATAGGTCAGTCTATAGTCAAGACTATAGATCAGTCTATAATCAAGATCTATAGATCAGTATATAGTCAAGAATATAGATCAGTCTATAGTCAAGACCATAGCTCAGTCTATAGTCAAGACCATAGATCAGTCTATAGTCAAGACTATAGATCAGTCTATAGTCAAAACTATAGATCAGTTTATAGTCAAGACTATAGATCAGTCTATAGTTAAGATCTATAGATCAGTCTATAGTCAAGACTAAAGATCAGTCTATAGTCAAGACTATAGATCAGTTTATAGTCAACACTATAGATCAGTCTGTAGTCAATACTATTGATTATTCTATAGTCAATACTATAGTTTATTCTATAGTCAACACTATAGATCAGTCTGTAGTCAAGATTATAGATCAGTCTATATCAGTCTTGACTATAGTCAAAACTATAGATCAGTCAAGACTATATGTCATTCTATAATTAATAATATTGATCAGTCTATATCAAGACTATAGATCAGTCTACAGTATAGTCAAGGCTATTATCAAGACTTTAGACTAGTTATAGTCCACATATAATGTAAACAAAATTTAACCGAATACAGCCATAGTGCAAGATATTTTAAAACTTTTTTAAATTATTTAATAATAATTGCATTTAATATAAAATTTCAATTGAAAAACGGAAAAGGAAATCATTTGTGATTTTATTATGTATTTCCCTTAAAAAAAAAAAGACGTGCTCATTTATTTTTAAGTAAAATATTAAAAACAAAAATTATTATACGATAATAAAAGAAATCTTAAGTGGTCGGTCGGCTTTTGGGTCGTTTGTTATTTATGAGATCAATAAAAAATAAAATATTTATGATTCCCGTTTAAGGAATTCCCTGAAATACAAAATAATTTGAGCAGATGTTTAAATAATTAAAGTTAAACTTATAAGAAAAAAAAACCAGACAACCAGTTACACTTTAATTAAATATTTAAAAAATATATATTAAAACAAAAAATATTAAAAAAAATATGCATTTGTCAACGAAAACTAATTAAATTGTTTTGCATTTTATTTTAATTACAGATACAGATTTGGCTTTTAAAACAGAATTTCAAAACAAATAATTATTAATTATAAGGTAAGTTTGAAATTTGATTAAATATTAATGTATGACTAAGACATTAACGCATAAATAATTTTTTTCTTATTTGGTTTGTTAATAAACAAAATGTTTTATTTAAATTTTCGTATGATAATTATTTAACATTTTTATGCAATTTTTACTCCTACACTAGAGTTTTTTTTAACTTTATGAAATGAGTCTTTTTTCGAGTGCTATAAGCAGGCCAGTCAGGTCTCTCTGTTCTTTTTTTTTTCAAGCGATTTAGCAAATTTTGTAGTTAAATAAATAAAGCTTGTGTTATTTTAATGCATTTCAAACTTAGACATCTAGATAAAAAATAATGTGTTTTAACAGACATTTTGATTGTTTAAAATATACCATTTTTAATTTTATTATATTTAAGAAAAAAAGCTCCACAATTGCAATGACTTTTAGACCTTAAGGCTTGTTGTTCATATAGATAAATAAAAGTTTTTTTCTTTGTATACCGAAACGCAAAAAGTCAGCTTTTTTTCGTTAGCAAAATTTAAGTTAAATATTTATGGCGAAATATTTTTGTGTTGAAATTAAGAAAACATTTTTTATTATTTTTATTTAAATATTAATATTGTGTTTAATTAATGTTGTAAATAATAATAAAAAAAAATATTATGGAAAAAAAAGAGTTAATTTGCAAGGTTTTTAAGACAATGTAAATCAGTTAAAAACTACAAAATGTTTAATATAATTAAATAAAGATACATGATGATAAAGCATTGTAAAGTAAACTTTAACCCAGTGTGCGAAAAAGAAATCATATTTTGTTGTTGACTAACTCTTCCATTAATAAATATATTTAATTGAAACATAATTTGAAACATTATATCTGTGTTGCAAATGCTAAAATATCAGATCAGAAAGTAGCAAAGAAAATATTTTTTCTGCACGATCAGTCAGCCCATAACTTTGATCTAACTAGACCCTTACAAACCTTATAAAATACAAATCGCAAATTCTACGTTTATTACGTCATTTACTGTATAAATTCCTATAGCGACTTAATGATTCCTAATAACAGCAATCAAAACCATACAAATCGCAAATTCTACGTTTATTACGTCATTTACTATATAAATTCCTATAGCGACTTAATGATTCCTAATAACTGCAATCAAAACCAGTTTTGCAATCAAGACCCGAGTTTTAAAACTTCACTTGCTATATAATTATGTATATCCAGAGAAAAACTTCTCCCATTTTAAGAAGAATACCTCCAGTAGTAAAGTTATCTATTTGTTCTTTTTATCCTCAGATAAACATTATAAAACCCTTCAGAATCTCAAGTTCTCATATTCCCCCTTCAACCAGCTGTCTTTAAGGAGAGTGTATTGTTCTAAATTTTCGGTTGCGTATAGAAGCAATATGAAGGAACAGAATTCATATACATTTCATTCTTAATTTCCGAAAAAAAAACAGTTTATTATGTTTGAATGACTGATTGATTTGAATAAACTAATGTTATCTGTAACGATACTATTCGGAATTAACTTAAATTCGAGTTAAACATAAAGCTCATCCAAAGCACAGGCTTAGTATATAATTGAGTGACTATGAATGACAAATATCTTTGAAAAACTCACTGAAGTATCATCATCCTTGTTGCTGGATTGGTACATTTGTTCCTGAATATCAGACTGTTTGGCTCAGAATCTTTCTATTTAAATCGGCGAGAATAGTCAATTTTCCGAACCAGCGATGAGGTTCATTTCTATCTTAAGGTTGTGTTTGAGGCTTTCTAGTTTTTATCCTAGAACATCGATCTGCATGGAAAGTTTTAGTTTCGCATGAATTCCTTTTGATCGAGATTGATTGCTGATATTGACTGGTTTACCATGGCGTCATACATTATGGGGACAGTTTTGACTTTATTTGTAACTTTTAAATAAACTAGTTCAATCTTTAACGAACTATTTAATTTAAGGTTTAATCTCAGCTTTATAGCCGTCCTAATGTTAGCTTTAATCGTAGCTCTATAAATAGTTCTGTTATAACTTAGATCATAGTAAAATTTTTAGGTTTAAAAAAATCTAGTTTTTGCTTCAGTCATAGCTTTATAAAGAATCCAATATTAGCTTTAATCAAAGTCCAACTTTAGCATTAATCGCAGATCAATTACTAGTCCAGTTTTTGGGTTATATATAGTCCAGTTTTTGCTTCAATCGTAGCTTTATAAAGCTTTGTAATCAAAGTCTAATTTTAGCATTAATCGCTGATTAATTATTAGTCCAGGCCCCAAATTACGGCATACGATATCGATCGAAATCTCAATAGAATTTAAATGGAGATTTCGATATCGTATACCATAATTTGGGCCCAGTTTTAGGTTTATATATAGTCCAGTTTTGGTTCAATAGTAGCTTTATAAAGAATCCAATGCTATTTTGAGTCAAAGTCCATTTTTGGTTTTAATAGTTGATCAACAACTAGTCCAGTTTAAGGTTTATATATAGTTCAGTTTTTGCTTCAGTCGTAGCTTTATAAAGAATTCAATATTAGCTTTAGTTAAAGCTCTATAAATACTAAAATTCAAATTTATACATCTGCTATAAATAGTGGAATATTAACTTCATTCTTAGCCCTATAAATAGTCGAATTTTAGCTTTAATCATAACTCTATAAATAGTTCTATCCACATTGTTTAAGACGATTTAGTACTATCTTTTTCAACAACAACCGAAATCGGAAGTTTCGCGCCTTATCTTAAAAGCTTTTCTTAGCTTTTAGGATTTCTTTCATAAGCACTTCGAGAATAAGCCAAAGCCCTTGAAATCCAATAATATAATACCGTACTAACAATAGTAGCTTGAACTCCAGTCGGGAAGATCCCATGACAATTGGATCTTCGCTCCGGAAAGACCCGAGTCATACGCGGCCAAAGATAGTCAACCAAGCGACAGCTGTATCAACCGAAAGTTTTGCCCCCAGGAAAGAACTATAGGTCACAGTCGAACTGTTACAACAACAACACTAATCGGGACTAGTTTATGTTTGGCTACAGTAGCATTGGACCCTATACAGGTCTTTAGCTTCATCGTGGGAATGAGTCCCCTAAGGTTATAATTCTTGGTCACAGTCGAACTGTTACAACAAAAACACTAATCGGAACTAGTTTAGGTAACTGATTATGTTTGGCTACAGTAGCATTGGAACCTATACAGGTCTTTAGCTTCATCGTGGGAATGAGTCCCCTAAGGTTATAATTCTCGGCCACGAAGGGTGTGACTTCTTCTGTTCCTCCAAATCGATAAAGATCCATGTTAAGCATATCTGTCATGATTCCAACTTAAAAATAGGGGGCGGATTAAAATAATATTTTAATATTTGTACGTTTGTATATGTAAATACATCATTTCATAACGACAAATTCAAATATATTCAAAAATATGCTCAATACTACTGAAGAGTAAATTATAATTCGTTGTCATAACTTTGAAAATATGTACTTTTTTGCAATTTAGAAGTTCTATTTTTAAAACACTTAACACACTACTAATTAAATGTGAAAAAAAACTTCGTAAAGATATCTTTTGTCATATTTAATTTAGAAAAAGTGTATATTAAGATGTTGTTCATAAAACAAAATGTATTTATTTTAATTTAAATTTTGATCTCATACAAATTTCTACCGAAAACCACTAGAAAAAAACATGTATATTTACACGGACGACTAAATCTCAAATTATATGAAAAATATTGTCACAAATAATTAACACTCAACGAAACAATCAAATACATACACACCTTATTGTTTATTTGAACCTCTAGTAGAAATTTGGTAATTTATTAAGAAAATAAAGAAAATAAATAATGTTTAGAAATGAAACTAATTATAATTTATTTGCAATCAAACACTTTTTACCCCAACTACTACTCCCTAGTTCAATTTTGGGCTTTTTTTTTTTGTAAAAAAAGTGTGAAATAAGCTGGCGGAACATGACAAATACAAGTTGTATTTGTCTAAAATAAAATAAATATAATTTATCTATTAGTTATAGTAGAAATTCGAAAGAAACATATTTGATTAAAATTAGTTAACGTTACTGATAATTGGTTATAGTGTATGATTTCTTTGAATTTTTGGGTAAAATTATTTATAAATAAATTTCATAGATATTAGAAATTACGTTTTAATAAGAGACAATTAAGTAAATTTTACAATAAAAGTCAAGGTTAGCAGATGTTTAAATAAATTTGAAATATTGAGTGTTTATTTTGCTTTAATCTGTCCCACCGTCTCGCCATCTGTGTAAACTGTTTATATAGATTTTCGAATATTCGATTTCAATTCGATACAACAGAGTTGTTGTCATTTTCTGCAAACATTGTGAGCTAAAACGTTGGTCCTTCGACGCCCTATAAGTCAAACGCATAAACAATCTCAGGATCCAGCCATGTCATGAACTTTGTGCCCACCAACCATATCGTGGTCAATTCCTCACCTTGATGTTATCGCAATATCATTGTAGAGAGTTGTTACCACAACCTAAGCTTTCAAACGACTTAAAAAATGGGGATTTTCGAAACAGAGATCTAAATCTAGTACTAGCTGTCTTCAGTACGGTTTTGTTTTGATCACTGAGGTCTCTTTCGGGGTCAGTAATGACTATAAACGAAACCCAAAACACGGTAACAGAATGTCTATTAAAAGATTGATGTATGGGCTAGGACTATGTTTGGAATAACTGGTGCTACCTATTCTCACTATTATTATATCCTCTCTCTTTGGGGTCCATGTACAGGGGAAGGATATATTTCCGGTATGTTAAAGTTGGTGACTGGACCGAAGAAGATGTTCTGCAGTTCGCAGTTTGATAGAAACTGCAGGAAGTTTAAATCAAATTGTCATTACGATCACAGGCGATGTTGTTAGTTGTTTTCAGGACCTCTGTGCCAAAAAGGGTAAATAGCTCGAGATCTTTAGTAAAGTGTAATACTTGGACGATTATCATGATCATAAATTTGCCTTTTAGGTTCAC